GGCAGTGTAGGAATTCTTGTCTAGGTAGGGTCAATGCCCTGCAGGATAATCTGAAGTCCAGGTGAGAAGACATCTCAGGATTCCATGCCACTTGGGTAAATAAACAGATGGAAGTGGATTTACCTGACCATTTTGCACCCTTCCTACACCACACTCCCCACTCCACTTACAACCATACTCTTTGTTAAATTAATGAATAGCCAATTTTTGGGCCAAACCAAAACAAGACTGAAAGAAATTGTTTCAGGTCCTTCCATTCCAAGAGTGAAACTGAGCCGTCTGTCTAAAGTCCAAGTATGAGGTCTTGGAGTGAGATTTGATCAGGTGCTACCATTGTTTCAAATATCAATTCTTACAAGCTTTGTTTAGATTTCAGGTCTATTTTATGACATAAAAGGAAAACTGGCTTGTACTGGAAACTATCTGGGTGATCAGCGAATAGGTTATGTAACATACACACCAATTGATATTCATGCAGCACCTTTAGCCTAATGAAGTTCCAAGGAATGTTGGAACAGACTAGGACAGACACTCCTTAGGTTTAAACTCTGGATCTGATTTTAACCCACTAAGTCACTGTGTTCAAGACTTTCAGGAGCATTACAAAACCATATATGATACCAAACAACATTGGGAGAGATTATGTCAGCCAATAAAAACCTTAGTCAAAAAGGTAAATTTTTAGGAACTTTAAGTGAAGGTGAGTTACAAAGGCAAAGAAGTTTAGGAGGGGGTTCTAGACGTAGGATCTAGGTAAGTTAAGGCACAACTACCAATTAAAATCGGAGATACACAAGGAACCAGAATTAGAATTTAGTTATCTCAAGTGGCTGAAAGGCTGGAAGAGATTTTAGAGATGGTGACGGGCAAGACCATGGAAGGATTTGAAAACAAGGATTAAAATTTTAAAATATGGCTTTTGCTTGATTAGTCAGCAAGGGCGGTTAATTGGCTAACAGGACATGGTACATCGTAAGAAACAGAGAGTGAAGTTTTGGATGCTCTTAGGCTTATAGAGTAGAATACAGGAGACAAGCCAAGGGTGCATTGGAACGGTCAAATCTACAGATAACAAAGGCATGCATGAGGTTTTCAGCAGCAGATGAGAAAGCGGGGCAAAGAAGGACGATGTTATGGTGTTAGAGATGGACTTGGTGTTGGTATAAACAGTTCATTACAAGTTCATTTTGAGATCAGAAGTGACACTAAGTTTACAAACAGTCTGGCTTAATCTCAGACTGTTCCCAAAAAGGGTACAGTTGGCAGCTAGGAAATAGAATTTGGAGCAAGGACTGGAAACAATGGCTTCAGCATTCCTAATTTAGAGAAAATTTCTTCTGTCACAGTGTGACAGTTTAGCAACAACGAAGGAGTCAAAAGGTATATTCTGTGTGTAAATATAATGCACATGCTCACTGGCAAACAGATGTCAAGGTGGATAGTGCAAGAATGATAAATGTTGGCAGGAAATTAAGGAGGCCACATATTCCTTGGTTAGTAATTATTTAAAATGGGTCAGAGGAGCAAAGGGATCTAGGGTCTACATTGACAACTCAGTAGAAATAGCAAATAAGGCCACAAGAATTCAGGCAATACACTGGGGTTCGTGTATAGAAGAAAAAGGAAGCTATGGTAAACTTGGAGAGGGCTGGTTAAACCAGATGTGGGAGTGTTGTGCACAGTTTTAACTTCCACATTACAAGGACAGGACAACCCAGTGTGCACAGCAAGCTTTCACAAACAATAAAATGATAATATTCAGTCACTCCATTCTTGTACTTGTGATTGAACGATAAATATCAGCTAGGATACAGGGGTATTTCCCTGGGTGGGCTTTACAATAATGCTATGGTACCTTGTACATCCACCCAAGACATCAGATGGTGCAGAGATAGTAGGAACTGCAGATGCTGGAGAATCTGAGATAACAGGATGTAGAGCTGGATGAACACAGCAGGCCAAGCAGCATCAGAGGAGCAGGAAGGCTGACGTTTCGGGCCGAGACCCTCCTTCGGACATGGGGGAGGGGAAGGGGGTTCTGAAATAAATAGGGAGAGAGGGGGAGGCGGATAGAAGATGGATAGAGGAGAAGATAGGTGCAGAGGAGATAGACAGGTCAAAGAGGCGGGGATGGAGCCAGTAAGGGTGAGTGTAGGTGGGGAGGTAGGGAGGAGATAGGCCAGTCCAGGGAGGACGGACAGGTCAAGGGGGCGGGATGAGGTTAGTAGGTAGGAGATGGGGGTGGGGCTTGAGGTGGGAGGAGGGGATAGATGGGAGGAACGACAGGTTAGGGAGGCGGGGACGAGCTGGGCTGGTTTTGGGATGCGGTAGCGGGAGGGGAGATTTTGAAGCTTGTGAAGTCCACATTGATACCATTGGGCTGCAGGGTTCCCATGCGGAATATGAGTTGCTGTTCCTACAACCTTTGGGTAGCATCGTTGTGGCACTGCAGGAGGCCCAGGATGGACATGTAGCCTGAGGAATGGGAGGGGGAGTTGAAATGGTTCGCGACTGGGAGGTGCAGTTGTTTAGTGCGAACCGAGCGTAGGTGTTCTGCAAAGCAGTCCCCAAGCCTCCGCTTGGTTTCCCCGATGCAGAGGAGGCCACAACGGGAACAGTGGATGCAGTATACCACATTAGCAGATGAACATCTGCTTAATGTGGAAAGTCTTCTTGGGGCCTGGGATGGGGGTGAGGGGGGAGGTGTAGCACTTTCTGCGGTTGCAGGGAAAAGTGCCGGGTGTGGTGGGGCTGGAGGGGAGTGTGGAGCGGACAAGGGAGTCCCGGACAGAGTGGTCCCTCCGGAAAGCAGATAAGGGTGGGGAGGGAAAGATGTCTTGTGGTGGGGTCGGATTGCAGATGGCGGAAGTGTCGGAGGATGATGCGTTGGATCCAGAGGTTGGTGGGGTGGTACGTGAGGACGAGGGGGATTCTGTTTTGGTTGTTATTGCGGGGAGGGGGTGTGAGGGATGAGTTGCGGGAAATTTCTCTTTCAATTCCTCCCACTTCCTACAGACAAAGGGGGTGGCCATGGGTACCCGCATGGGCCCAAGCTATGCCTGCCTCTTCGAAGGTTACATGGAACAATCCCTCTTCCGTACCTACACTGGCCCTAAACCCCACCTCTTCTTCCGTTACATTGATGACTGTATCGGCGCTGCCTCGTGCTCCCACGAGGAGCTCGAACAGTTCATCCACTTCACCAACACCTTCCACCCCAACCTTAAGTTCACCTGGACCATCTACAATGCCTCTCTCTCCTTCCTGGACCTCTGTCTCCATCTCTGGCAACCACCTGGAAACCGATATCCATTTCAAGCCCACCGACTCCCACAGCTACCTAGAATACAACTCCTCCCACCCACCGTCCTGCAAAAATACCATCCCCTATTCCCAATTCCTTCGCCTCCGCTGCATCTGCTCCTGAGATGAGGCATTTCACTCCTAGACATCCCAGTTGTTCTTGTTTTTTCAAGGACCGCAACTTCCCCTTCACAGTGGTTGAAAACTCCCTCGACCGCATTTTTGCGTTTCCCGCAACTCATCCCTCACACCCCCTTCCCGCAAATAACAACCAAAACAGAATCCCCCTCGTCCTCACGTACCACCCCACCAACCTCCGGATTCAACATATCATCCTCTGACACTTCCGCCATCTGCAATCCGACCCCACCACCAAAGACATTTTTCCCTCCCCACCCTTATCTGCTTTCCAGAGGGACCACTCTCTCCATGACTCCCTTGTCTGCACCACACTCCCCTCCAGCCCCACCACACCCGGCACTTTTCCCTGC